TTTCAGCGCAATTTGGTTTAGAAAAACTGATAGAAATTTGTATTATTATCTTTAAATGTTCCCATTGAAAAAAAACGTAAATGCAATAGTTGTCAACTATCTAAACTGAAAATATTTTTATTTTATTTTTTTACGTCTCCTTCGCCAATATTATTGAATTAGGAGAAATAAAAATGAATACCCAAATGTTTAAAAAATTACTCTTTATTAACACTAGAACCACCAAACCAGTCAAAATAACTGCTTTCTGATTTTTTTCTTTTATAATTCCTGATATTATACAAATATTTCTATGAGAAATTTTTAGATCATTTATAGAACATATATTACAATAGAAATCGTACGAAGTTTAAATAAATACAATCTCGTTGTTTTTATAAAACAATATTCATTAGTCGCGTTAAAAGAGCGGTAGTTCTAATGTTGAAGAGCGAGTGTTCAATTATTAACATATTATCTATATATTGATTTTATAATTCTCGAAANATAGAAATATGATCTTGTCAATAATTTTGAAAATTCAGACATTTGTATTCAAGCGTATTAAATAGTATTTTTCTATTGTAGGACAAAATATTTTATACACTGTACGATCTTCCAATATCAAATTTATATACCATTGTAACATTTTTGTAATAACAAATGGATATCTTTTGAATACTTTCACTATCAAAATTAAATCCTAGTCGCTGACATACAATAAACATTCATTTAAAAATACGATACATATACGCGATTACATGTATATTTTTCTTTTTATATTAATTATCGAGAATATTATTTCTGGCTGTCTAACTTTGCAAATTGAAACGGACACTTATCGTATATTAGTTAAGACGTTATCTACCGGTGATCATTTTATGATTTCCGAAAGTCTCTAATTTACAGTTCAAAGTTGCTTAATAAATTGTTTAATGGTACTAGCTATTACAATCGTTTACCAATGAGCCGTCCCAGTAACATAATCTAATAATTGCATTTGGGATGATCATGTCTTCGATAGTTAACATTCGAACAGCGAACTATTTTAACAAAAATATAACTGAGAAACATGTGATTATTTTAGCTAATTATCATAAACTACGGAATCAAATAAAAATCCCTGAATTTTATCTTTTAAATATTGTTAAAACATATAACTTTTTCGAAACTGTTTTTAGACAATTAAAGTCAATCAAAAACGCGCATTTTAAAAGAAATGCATTGTTCCACGACCTCTAGTTCACAAGATATCTTGATTTTGATCACCCCCTAGGTATGCATCATTACGAATACAAAAAAATACGTGTCAAATATTATTCAACAAACTATATTATACCAAAATCTCGTTAAAATCGACGTGTTACACATCGAAACGCTTCCTCGTAAGTTTACGAAACCATTCAAACATGGCGTTAGTTGAAAATTTAAATTAGCAGAATATAGCATCATAATAATTATCTTAATATTAATACGATTCATGGTCGCTAGTAGTCAATCAATCGTCGCTCAGTTCATGTTTCAGTGAGACGCGTGAAAAAAAGGCATGCGATTGTACATATGTTAAAAAATAACCAGACGTGACATATACGCAAATGTGCGTTTCTTTGAGTTGGATACACCACAACGACGTATAAACGTCCTCAGTCTAAATATAATTGAAGAAAACACAATTGCTTTACATTTTGCTCATGATTATATAACGTTTCGGCGCATGCCGTTAGACTTCGATATAGTTTGTATCGCGACTGCATCCCATCATTAATTATACACCATGGTTTCACAACGATTTGACGTCTTTAGTTGGCTTCCCGACGTTGATGAATCGAACATCTTATTTTTCAGATGGACAATTTGAAAGCGACTCTGGGCACAAACGAATTCGCCGAATCGAAGGCTAATCTTTGCCGGGCGCTGGTCGCAGAATTCCTCGGAACCATGCTGCTAAATTTCTTCGGCTGTGGCTCTGTCGCCACCAACAACATCGTTGCCATAAGTCTAGCCTTTGGCCTAACCGTGGCCGCCGCGATTCAAGGAATAGGACACGTTTCTGGCGGCCATGTCAATCCTGCTGTGACGTTCGGTTTAATGGCTATAGGCAAGGTCAGAAACGTCATTTGGTAACATCGTTTTCGAAGACATGAGTAACTTCTGTTGGATCTTTATCATGGGATAGTATACCCCTAATTATAATGACCCTCTGTTGACCCTCTGTTTGATGCAGTTTGCTAATGTTAAAAAATTCAAATAAAACTGCTATTTACTAGAAATATTAAGAAAACAACATTTTCTCAACATTTTTCTCAACAACGATATATTGTTGTTCGGCACGAAAAGGGTTAATATAGAGTTTCTTTTTAAAATTGCTACAAAAAGTGACCGTTTAATATTTTTCAAAGCTTTTTGCTTTAATAAAACGTGTAAACCTTCCGATTAATTATGAAAAACAATCTCGTTCAAATGGCTACCACGACTGGCTTGTCAGTAGCCTATCCTGTCGACCGAATATTTCAGTAGATTTTCGATTGTTTATGACTCTATTTCGCGAATATATATATATAGATCGATAAATATTTTCTTTTGACTTGTTTAAACTGTTATTAATGAATGCGTAAATGTGGAAATGTTAGACAAGCTAAAAGCGAATTATGGTAAATACAACTACGTTTGCTCGCTATCGATTTCTTTGTTTTAAACAAACGTTAGAATTTTACGATATTTTTAGTGGGTATTTGTAAATAATTCACGGGGTTTTCACTAAAATGAAGACCGATAAAATGCGAATTATGATTTGCTTTGAATGAATAGTGTAATCGAACACTAAAATGGTGTTAAATATTTATTTCAGGCCATTTTCTTAATTAGTCAACATTTTGCACAGTTGCTTAAATTTTACTTGCAAATTTAATTATTTTTATTGTAATAAAATAATAATAATTGTAACAAAATTATAAATTAAAGTATGCATTTCATACTTAACAATCTAATAAATATTACAATTTGAATTTGTTTATTTCGTATGACTATTATTACTTTATTATCATACTTGACATTGTATTGATTTTTACCAAAAATATTAGTAAAAGTTGCATAGCAATTTATTGAAAATACTGAGTATACAGATAAAATCAAGATCGTTGTAGCTAAATGCGTTTCAGCAATCATGAAGTACTGTAATAATCATCGTATATGCACTTTTCTAGTTATATTGATTTTTCTTGTACTATAGACCTTACATTTTAGACCATAAACGCATAATTATCGCTTGCAATCTAGCTTGTATGTATGTATTTGCTAGGGACGCAATTTGCTTTTAGCTTATTGCGGTCTTCTAATGTCGTTTGGTCACGAATACTTTAAAGAGAAAGCACCTTTCACCATACACAAATCAACATAATACAGAATCGCAAAATATTAATAGAGTAGAATATATAATTAAAACAGAACTTAAATATTAAAAAAAAAATACGTTTCCACTACTTCTGATTTATCAAAGAAAACTTCACATCCTAAACAAAAATGGCAGTATTGCAATAGAAAACTACATTTCCATTCTAATTAATTCAATCAACAATCAACTCGTATGAAATAAGTTACACATTTCTAAATTATTTGTTGAAATAGTGTTACTCAGAGTGTTCATTTATGTTTCAGATATCTATAATCAGGGGATTATTATATGTCTTGGTCCAAAGCATAGGTGCTATCGCAGGATCCGGTGCAATAAGGGCCCTCTCTCCCGATACAATGGAGAACGCTTTGGGTGTAGTAAGACTCTCCAAAGGAGTTACATCTGTGCAAGGTTTTGGCATCGAATTCTTTCTGGCGTTTATATTGGTTCTCGTCGTATGCGGTGCATGCGACGCAGCTAAGCCACATAGCCAAGGAATTGCACCTCTCGTGATTGGACTTGCGGTTACTGTTGGCCATCTCGTTGGTGTAAGATCTAATATCTATTGAGCTCCACTTGTTTTTTTTTATATCACTATTATCCATGATATGTTCTATTATATGCTACGTAGCCAGCATGAAAATTACCTTCATAAGGTGTTAAAATTTATATAGTACAAAAATATTATTATATAATTAACAGCTAGTTAAGGTAATATAATTTTGATACAATTAGTTTCCTCAAGCAAATGCAAATAGGATTTCGAGAAAATACGAAACCTGGAATATAACATATTTAAATCTTTGTTTTTAATAAATATTTAGTAAGTTAACATTAGTAAGTTAATAGCACACGATGTCTTAAAGACGTTCATTTTATGTCAATTTTAGGCCTAAATTTTTTACGACCTAAACTGGACGTATGAAAGGTTATAAGTGGACAAGATTGTTAAATATGCTCTCTAACAGGGTGAAATTAGATTAACAGATTAAGCTCTATTTTTTCTGTTTTGCTAAGTGGAAAATTATGAAAAAAATCAGGTATCTTCTACACTCTACCTGATCGGACGCAACGCGCTGAATTTTTAGTTACAAACTCAATTTTTTTTTAAATCCGGAAGTTTAAAAATGCCGACCTTTTTTTATTGAAAATATCAGGCGATCACATATATATTTTTATTATGGTTATTACCGTGTACTTCCTCAGGTTTTCGAAGAGAGCGAACTTGGTAAGGAAAATTAAAACTCTTTCAAAAATTCGGTAAAACACATTTTTCTTGCTGAAATTTATGAGAGATCAGTTTTATATTAATTCTACAGGTAGATGTCATTGTAAGCATTGTTAATAACTGTTTTTAGATTGTTTTAAAATAGAGATCCTAATCATAGAAATAAAAATCGAATTTTTCGACGTTTCTTTAATTTTATGTAGATATATTATGTAATATTATGGTATTAAAAAAAATATATTATAAAAAGTAAAATAGTACTTCAAAAAATATGTTAGAAAGTGAAACTCTAAAATGATAATGTATGTATCTTCGCTGGGATAGTAGCCTACCGCGACGCGTCGCTTCTCCTCTTAAGACCAACAGTCGATCAAGTAGGAGCGGCACCGGCTTTAATATCTATAGGGTGTCATTTTCAAATTTGCAAGTACAAAATTGGTCTGTGTTAGGTCTGAGTTAGTTTATTTTTCGAGCGAGCAAAGCGATCGACCCACTCTAACGATTCTCACATTCAACACAACATATCTCTAAAATCGCTGAGATACCTTTTTCAAAGCTGTTGACTTACACGCCGCTATGGCGTGTACGTATATATGTAGAAGTCGTTACAATGACAGTAGTAACTTAGATTTTTCATTAATATCTTGAAAACTATAAAACTCTCAAGGCTATTACTTTATACTTGAGGTTATGTCCCCTCCCTCCAAACGCCATCTTGATCGGCGACAGGTCTCTTTCGGAAATTTATCCAAAAGTAATTATTAGATTGTGGATTTTTTGCATTTAAGACAAGAATAAGTAGATCAAATGAAAAACAATAAAAACTTGTAAACAATTTGAAAATATTATTGTATTACTATCAACATATTAAAATGATTAATAAAGGAAATAAATGTTTACGAAGTTTCTGCATCTTACAATAAATGAAGACAATTTTTGTTTCTCGTAAAGGTCCGCAATCTAATAAACACCAATGCGTTTCATTGGCGATGAAACTCTATCCGATTTTTTTATTTGAATAGGTGCCGAGAACTGGCGCAGGAATGAATCCAGCACGATCATTAGGTAGCGCTGTTGTAATGAATGCGTTCGATAATCACTGGGTTTACTGGATCGGACCGATTTTGGGCGGAATGGCGGGTGGATTAGTTTATGCACACGCGATTGGTCCCGCAAAGGAGCCAGAAGGATACGCGTCAGTGGCGAGGGGAGAGAAGGAGGTACGATCCTGAAGAATGAGCGAATAGAACATGCGAATCGTAATTGGATTACTTGTTAATTTGCCAATATAGTACCTGATTTCAATGAATTTCTAAGGCTAATTATCACAGTGATTCATTAAACGTTTATTACTTCTCCCTCGTCTAACAAATACATTTACTATTACGTTGGCAAAGCTTCGTAAATCTCTATGTTCCGTAACAAATAAATAAAAGAATAAATTTAGCAAAGTTTATTGGATCATTATTCAAGTTAAGTTAATTTACTATTAGTTAATTACTATTTCAGGTTAAGAAAATTTACTATGCTCCGCGAAAAGGTAGTAAATAAACAAAGGAGAACGTTTATTCTTAAATTTTGAAAATGTATGTTATTAATACCTAGAAATAGGAAACTGTTTTGATATTGAGACTGTCAATTCCCAGTATGTATTGTGTCATTAAATTGTTAATTTGTTCATGCGGTAATTCAAGTCAGAAAAGCAATACATGTATTTTTGTATATATTCGATATCGAAAATATTAGACTAAATTTGATAATAGATCCAATCACATACTTACGACCAACTACTGGCAAGACTGTGTAATTTAGTGTGATCATTATTTGTATTTGACTTTAATTATATTGAGAATAAAATGTACAGACAAAACTGGTTAATGAAAGTTGATGTAATGATTGGAATACATTTTCGGATTGGAGTTAATATAAAGGTAGAATATTGCACAATAACGATAATTGGAACCGGAAATTCTTATATTCTCGTTGTAGAATCTTTCTATGTTTTCGACGCATTCAAAAAAATACAAAATAGTAGAATCCTTTTTTTTTTAAATTTTCAATCGTCTCTGTCCCACAGCAGTTCGAGTACATAGACAGCGGACGGGGTGGACTTTAAGAAATGAAGATACAAAGAAAGATTCGAAGACGGGAATGCAATTTCTTGTACAATTCATACAATGAGTAATCGAACAATCGAAAATATGCGAAGTGTTATTTTTACAGCTGGAGAGCCTTACCACTAAGAAGGACGTCAACCCTGCATAAACTGCCCGGCGTTCTTCGTCATCCTGTTTAAAATACTGTCAAATCATTTCTTGCATTCAAGTCGAATATATGTATATGATGTTCATGAAATCGAAAACTCTTGAACTGTTTTTGTTTTCATAAGCAGAAATAAGCAGAAAAAGAACTAGTGGAGTTATATACAGTTTCATTATTTGTGATAGAAAAATAGTTTACAAACGATTGAACATTCTTAACATAAACAGAAAAGAATTTTGTACGTATTTCATAGAATTTTATACACTGATTTCACCTGCATACATTAAATAAAAACATGTATTATTTATGAAAGGTCTGAGACTATGTTTTGTATTATAAATATTATGGTTTATTTGATGATTGGAAGATACAGAAGGCCAAAGATGAATTGTCGAAGTAAAATTGTGTGGTTTCGACATCACGTGTTGTGTTTATCGAAGTTGCTGATAATGTCACATTTCCAGTATCAGATTTCCATGTTGCAATAAAATGTGTACTTTTAAAAGTAATCCTCAACAGTTATATATCGTATTATTATAAAATTGTATTGCTTTAGCCACCGCTATATGTCGACCTATTGCAAGTTAAAATTCAAGAATCATTTTATTATACTACCTACCATGCGATAAAAATGTAACATCAGCTATTTAACTTTCAATTGCGACAGCTTGCTTTCAGCATTTAATAGTTTTTTACATCCTTGTTGGTGGATTGCTGATATAACCATTCAATACCGTTGTTTTGTATCTCTTGTATTTATAAATCCATATACTACATTTTATTTTTATATATTGTACATCCAAATACGGCGAAAATAATATTATCACATACGCTATTATGTTTATATAATATTATAATAATATTATATAAAATAAAAGAATAATATATTGCAAGTAAAACGTGTATTTGAATGTGTGCTATATCCTGTAATATGAAATAAAATGTAAATGTTCTATGCGAGAGTACACTGGCAAAGTAAATCATTTGTACCATGTTAGATGTGCGGAAGAGGTCGTCCTGGAAAATAAACAACACTCGATTTTACATTTACACACCATTGTCTGTATTTGATACATAGTTTCAAACGTTAATAGAATATCCAATAATCTATGTACCGTTTTCACACTAACCTCGTACACATATTCATAGTGTTACAGAAAGTTTAATTCCTTAAAGTACCTTGTGTGTTCCCAATAATGTAATCAGTTGAATAATAATGAGACATTCGATTGCATCGAACATGAGACATTGTAATTGAAAAACATTTGGAGAAGGGTAGGGAGGGGATTTCCCATATAGATATATACAATTGTCTTACGTCCAATATTGATATACATGTTCACCAGATAGTGAGATATCTAAAACGAGTGCCTTTTACATGTTCCTTTAATTTGTATTTTCAATGTTACTTTTACGATGTCGCAGCGCAATGTAAATAACAAATTTCTTGTAGCACATGAAAATCATCAATTAGTTTCTTACGTTTTAAATAATAATTTTTACTTTCTTATGAAGAAAGGTTGATTAATAGGCACTACCTTCTTTTTCGTATCTCAATGATGATGTTAATAATTAACATGCAGACGCGACTCTACAACTGTCACACAACAGAAAATGAAAGATAAATACAGAAGTTTAGATACAGTGTGACAATAAGACATGAATCATCTTAAACTCACATGATTACTTAAGGAATCTAATGACAAAACGATCGTAGTGTTTACCTATATTTGTCCAGAATGTATCTCGATACAAATTCCAAATTTGTAACACTGTGATCAAGTCATAGCTTATTATATTTTAACCCAATATTTCTTAATCGAAAGCAACATTTTCAAGTATTCAACAATAGGATCCAATAAGTTCAGCCTTCCATCTGTTGAAGTTTATCTTCAAGACTGTCTTGACTATCGTTAGTATCATTCAAGTCTATCGTGTGAGTCTCGTGATCAAGTTCTATCACAGACTCTTCCAAATCGTTCTTTTGGACTTCTAGTACATTGTCTGATGGTTCAAAAATATCTGCTGACTCTGAAAGGTCCTGCTCATCCAAGGTTAAATTCGAGTTTTGTTCGGGTTGTTCTATTATAATTGGTTCACCATCTGTTACAGTTTCCATTTTGACATCGGTCTCTGGCAAATCCTCTATTACTTCCATCGTGCCATCTAATTTAAGAGTTATATCCTGGTCTTCGAGTTCTTCGGCTTCTTCTTTCTTTATCGTTACATTACCCTCGCTGGAGGGACCTGGTTTCGGTGTATCAGTATTCTTTGTGGCAGCATCTGAGACAGTAGGTATTTGACTCAGATTAGTTAGAACTGTTTCCTGCATTTTCACTACCGAATCAGCTGAATCCAATATGCTACACAGTTCTCGACTCATCTCTTCCACTTCTGATGGTTCTTCCGACTTGACCAAAATAATTTTCTTGTTCCCATAAACTTTCGAACTGGTTATTAATGGCTGTTTACCTTCTCTTCTAAGTGGTGTAGCACCTGGTTTCGGGATAACTGTGGGCTCCTTTTGTACAGTTTCGATTGATTTCACCTCAACTTGAGGAGCAGCCTTTTCTTTCTCTGGTACAATCGGTGTATCTTCTTTCGATATTGTCGCAGGAGTTGTTGTTACGGATATTGTTGTTATAGGAGTTGTGGTTGTTACGTCATTGTCATTATACTCTTGTTCTTCGTCGTACATGCTCTGCTTTTTCTTCACGAATACTCTTTTCAGTGGTAATTGTTGTTCATCTTCGGATTCATCGTGACGCTCTGGCGACAATTCTTCCATAGGTTCATATTCTTGTTGCTGCTTACGTGCTTCTAGTTCTTCAATTTTCAAGCGTTGCTGTTCCACTCTCTTTTCTAACTGTTCTAATTTTTCTTTAGTTTCCTGATCACCTCCTATTAATGTGGATTTTTGAACAGTTGCAACCGTTGGTTTTGGTGCTGGCGGGGGTGTACTTATTATGGGCTGGGAAGTTTTCAATTCGAATTTCGGTGATTCACTTACTACAGTCTCAGTAGTTTTTACCGGAGTTGTTTGTTGTCGTGGTTCAGCGGATGATTGTAAGACTGCTTGAATGAGACCTGAATGCTTGTCAAGTGGCTTCTTAACTACAACTCTCTTGACAACATTACCAGTAGGTAATTTTGCCAGTTCTGCTGGATCTATTATCGTACCATCGGGATTCATAATAACTTCCCTTGTAGTATCCCCTTGTCGAATAATTCTGCGAACGATTACACGTTTCGTAACCTTGTGACCTGAACTATTCAAGTCAGACATTATTCCCGATACCTCGCCTTCTTTTGTTGGAGCTGTAGTAGTTTCGGTGGTTCCGGACGGTTTCCTCACAACAATTCTTTTTATTACTTTAATGGTACTAACAGCTTTTGGTGGGTTAGTAACTACTGTAGGAGTTTCCAGTTTTTCCTCTTTCACCGCGACTACATTGGGAGTATTACTCTGTCCTTGTTGCGGCTTCGATTGGTTTGTAGTCGTAGGTGATTCTTTACCTGGATCTTGAGTAACATTTTGGTGTTTCAAAGGAATTTTGTGCTCCTTAAATACAGATGCAACTATTTTTTGAACTTGTGCTTCTGTTTCATCTACACGAGAAGTCTTTGCAGATTCCTCATTCGACTTAGGCTGTGGCGTCTTCGTAACTTGTTGCGTCTGACTGCTATTCGGACTTTGTTTAATTTTTGCATCCTGTACTTCTCTACGCTGAATGGGCATTAGTGTTTTAATTGTCTTTTTAATCATGTTTCCATCTTTACGTCTCACATATACTACCTGTTCCTTTTGATTTTCATCCTTCTCTTCCCTCTCTCGATCCTCTTCGCTTTCTGATCTATCGGGTTTACTTGGTTTTGGAAGCTTCTTCACGATGTATGCCGGCGGTTCGTAATCGTCATCGCCATCTGAATATTGTTCTTCCTCTTCATCTTCATCGCTTTCTAGTTCAAGTTTAGTTTTATTGTCTGGCTGCAATCCATCTGGTCCCATTTTTTCACCTGCTTCAATATGTTGTTTAATATGAGTGACATAATCTGCTCTATTTCTGCAAGATTCCTGGCAGACATCGCAAGTTAATCCCATACCTGTGCGTTTTGTGTGCGTTAGCTGATGTACTTCTAAACTCTCCTTGCGCTTGAATGCTTTTCCACAATCTTCACAGACGTGACGTTTCTCTACAGAATGTGTACGCATGTGTCTAGTTAGATGATGAGATAGGAGGAATGAACGAGGGCATAGCTTGCACAAATATGGTCTGTGTCCTGCATGAGTTGTTAAATGACGAGCTAATTTAGTACTTGTACGGAATGCTTCCTTACAGTACTCGCAAACAAACGTTTTATCTTCATTATGAAGCACCTCGTGCCGTTCTAACCCTTGTTTATAGGTGAAACGTTTGTTGCAAATATTGCACTGAAAAGGTTTTTCTTTTTTATGGACAGAATCCTCATGTTTTTCTAATTCTTCAGTTGTAAAGAATTCACGATCGCAATGCTGACAACCATATCGCAATTCATCTCTATGAACTTTTTCATGACGCTGTAGCAAATTTGCTCTTGAAAATTGTTTGTTACAGACTGGGCAAGAGAAAGGTTTTTCTTCTGAATGTGTACTCATGTGTTTTCCTAGATCATATTTAGAGAAAAACATACGGTCACATTCTGTGCACTTATAGTTACGGTCTCTATGGGCTCTTTGTATATGGAGAGCAAGTGCTTGACGCAGAGGGAAAGTACGATCACATTGATCGCATGCATGCACCCTTATCTCACCTGGTTCTAGCTTACGTTCTTCTTTAGCACTATTGGTATCTTGATCTCCCTCGCTACCAGCATCCTGCTCCTCCTCATAAAAATCATGTTGTTCTTCTTTTTCTCTTTGTTTTTCTGCCTGTCTGTCCCTATCCCTCTCTCTTTCTCTATCTCTATCCCTTTCTCTTTCTCTATCACGATCCTTGTCCCTTTCTCGTTCTCTTTCTCTCTCCCTTTCTCTTTCCCTATCTCTTTCTCTATCTCGTGTTTCTCGTCTTTCTCTATCCCCATTGTCAACTCTTGGTTTCTTTGCAGGTTCATTTTGAGACCTCTGTTCCAGTGGTCGTTTAGCAGTAACTTCAGGAGGATCATTAGGAATCGGTGGGAATGGTCTTGGTAAAACACCAGACAATGGATAAGCTCTTAACGCCTCGTCTGCTTTCTTACACTGTAGTTTAAATTTGTAAGAACGATCTAGATTCCAACGACACATACTGCATATCATTTGTGGCATTCCATCCGCTGCATAAACCTTAAACACAATATATCAAAATATTAACAAAGTTTTAATAAATCCTACCAATTTTACTTTGATAAATGTCAAACGTTTTATAATACATAGAAAAAATTTCATTTACAAACACTTCCCACAAAATCAAAATAATTTTGCATTCTGTATTCACATAGATGAGATAATTGCTAAATTTCCCGCCAGCTGGAATAAATCGATAAGTATATAAATAAGCAATTGTCGATAAAACAACAAATTACCATTTCAAAATGAAATGCACGTCATGTTTTAAACCTTTATCTATGACAATCGTCTACTGAATAGTTTACTTATTAGACTGTTAATTGTTACAACATAACAATGTATTTAACATAATAGATGTGCGAAAATTTCATAGCAATCGAAGTTCCGCAGAAAGCCGGAGAAAACAACTCAGTCGGCAAACATGATACCTATGTTATCCAAGCTGTTCTCTGTTCATTGACACAGCATGTATTCAATATGATAAAAAGTATCGATAATAAAACGAGCAGAGGAAATCGAGTACCGTTAACGCGAGAAACAAATAAGCATATGGAGCGAAACTATTACAGAAAAACATGTAGGTATATTCGAAGAATATGGAATGAAAGGTGGACAGTGAATGGGGCTCTAGCGGTCGATGCCGTCTTCAAAGAAAATAATTACCTCGATGGCGACGCACGACATGATCTGCAGGGTAAGCGGCACTTGAAACGGCTTACTATGATCTCTTTCATAAATGTAGCTAAGTGGATCCGATTCTGTCAGACAGAACCGACAGACTCGTCTGGAACGGAGTGGCGCCGGTCTGTTCTCCATGTTTTTCTGCCTACCGTCCGTACAGACACCCACGAAGACACGCACTCACGCGTCTCTCACGTCGTTCTCCTCTCGGCCCCTCTCGGATGTAGTATACTTGCACTTTTCAATCACTGCGACAACAATCACGCCAAGAATGTATCGTTCATTAATCGGATTTCAAAGAAATGACGCCGAGCGTCGGTAAGCGTCGCGTCACGTACGACAAACGAGCGGGACGAAGTATACACCGCTTTGGCGCTATTATGGCGGTCCGAGAACCCGTTTCCTCTGCGTGGCGTCGTTCGAGCGTCGAGTTTCGTCAAGCTTCAGCCTTTGCACATCAGCGACACCATCGACTTCTTTTCGTTTCACTGTCGGTAAAACAGTCAATTTTTCTAACGAACGCAGACTGAAAAATACTCGCGAACTAATCGTGCAATGAAATTTTATGTACACACTTGAAGCATCAATGTGGTGCGATCTAAATATCTTGAATAATATCATTAAAAGTAGAATCTCAGAAGTCTATGGTTTTTGTTTTCAGGCTTATGTTATCGATACTGTCGAAAACGCCCTGCTATTTGAACGCCCTCTTTATATTTAGAACGATTTACTAGTGAACTGCATACGACTGCAACCAGACATAAAAAAAGAAATGCGTGGAGGTTAGCTCTTGCAACGTTGTCGGCTCCCAGAGTACGACTTCGTCTGTGGTACAATGTTGTCGTGTCTCTTGAAGGATTAAATCTGTAGAAAAAGAATTGTCGAAGGCTCGTAACAAAATAATGGGATAATTGTCTCTTGACTCTGTTTGTTGCTAGAGGTTGCAGGAATTTGCATAATAGATTGCGATTAATTGAAACCGAATGAAAGTTCCAGTCGATAATTTACTTTATTTAATAAATGCAGATATGCATACATTCAGTTTTGGGACATAAATATTACTTCATTGATAAATATATAAATATATAAAGAAATATGTAAATTTCAGTAAATATACGATGTACACATACTTCGTAATATGCATACATATATGTACATATGTAGATATGTACACATGTATATGTTCTCATGTGTCTATTTCGGATGCCAAGGTTCTGTTATAAATTTCAAGTAATACAATACATGTTAAGGTACCTTAATTATTAATTAGGTCTAACTGGCAAAGCAAAATTAAAGCAAGATCAAATACTACCTATTGTAGCAATTGTATAAATAATAATTTATTTTCGTGATCTTCAATTACCTGCTGGATGCGATTAATTTGCTGCAATAGTTTAATATAAACTGATATTCAGGTAAGGAAAATGTCTGTGAAAGCAGAAATGTTCAATCGCAGTAGAAATAGCATGCATTGGTCAGCCGTTGCAGTGAAGCACCTTACAAAGAAGGTATGAGCGCTTATCATTGAAGAGACGTTAACAAATAAGTTTATTTAGACAAATAAACGTCTATTTAACAAACAAATTTATTAAAACAAATATACGTCTATTTAAAAAATATGTGTATTTGAACACGAGTATGGATGCAAATGAATTGCATAATCTCAGTTTGTAAAATAAGTTACTTCCAAAATGAACTATTTGTCGAATATTCCATTGTTTCGTACAATATTACACAATGAGTAAGTTTAACAATAGCACATTCAAGTAATAACGAAATGTATCATTTCTGTCACCTACAGTAATTTCTCCCTAATTTGCGCTCAGGTGGCGCACAAAAATGGACAATTTTGGAAGAGAAGATACGATTATTTGAGCCTTGCGTCTCGTTTTTATAGTTGTTAACAATCGGTAACTAGTAAAGTTCATAATTCAATATTTTGAGGTTTATTGATACTTAAATAATCTTCGCAGTAAGAAAGAAATATAAAAAAAATTTCTGCGAGTGTGCATACTTTAAATTCTGTTAAGAAATACTTTGAAAATAAATAAATAAATGTTTTAAAGTGATCAGCGAGATCGCCAGATCTGAATAATTGAAAATTTTTGTACACAACTGCAAAGATATGTTTATGAAGGCAGAAGACAATTTCAATGCCTTAAAGAATTTAAAATGTGTGTTGAACAAAAGTGCAAACAAATACGTCCAAAACATATTCAGAAACTCTTTAAGTCACTTCTAAGACGTACGTTGGCTGTGTTGTAAAATAAAGGATCCTTAAAAAGCGTTAAAAACGATGTTATGTATTTTATTTTATTATGTTAAGTATGTAAGTCACGTTTGTCTTGTACACGTGGCATCATGTAGATCCACTCGTTTTTCATCTTTTCTTGTTAAATAAACTGACCTTTTCTTCATTTTTTGTTTGCAGTCTAGTTTATTATCCACAAATGATGAAAACATTGGATTATCGAGGTGTACCATTTTTTTGTCCCGGAGTATATAATACGTGTTTTGCTAGCATTGCTTCATCAGGTAAGCCTATATAGCAAATAGAAACTTGTTTATTTAGAAACACTGGAGTTTATTCAAGACGAAGACAACTGGTCTACAAAGATCGAAAAGAAAGTACAAATCTACGAAATGCACACGCGTAGCTTTAATACGCCCAGACTTGGCCAAGAGTATGCATGCCCGTTGAATGTTCCAACTCGATTTTCATGGGATTGAAGTTTCCAACGAGCAAATTATGTTTTTCATTTAGTTTCCCGTAGAACATATACTCTTGTTCCCATCGCTCTCATTACGCTGACTGTCGAATCGGAAATTTCATTGAGTCGACAAGCATTTCCGACTTTGAGAAATTTAAAGACACGATCTACAGAGCAATTTGAACCTCTCTTTGCACAGCAAATCTCTCGCGACAGACTAAACAAACATAATTAATTTTCCAGTTGAATTTCCCCGATAGCAAACAAACTCTAATAATTCATGTAAAAGGTTTTTGTTTAATCGTGCTCTCTTATATTTTCCCGTGGAAAATCGTCCAGTCGCCCGGCTGTATTAACCAGCCGGTTCCATTCGAATACTGTCTAAGGGACGAGGAGGGCAGACGAGATGAAAGCACCGTAACAACGTAATTAATGCTTCGAACGTGGAACGCAGCATTTGCAGGGACGGAAAACGAAGAAAGAACGATCTTTGTCTGACCTGATTAGTCCCTCGGACCGACCTCGGTCGTCCACCTTTCCACTGTTTGAGCTACTTCGTTTCTTTTCGTCTCTTCTTCTCGGACACATTCCACGGCCCCTTACGAACTCAGTTTTCCGTCTGAATTAAGAATCGTCTGCGAAGTTAAACTCTGACAAGAGTAGTTCTAATTATAACCAACGTAAAGCTCCGAGAAAAAGTTCCAAGTGACTTTACGTGGTCAGTGAAAGAAACGGAAATGCGCTGGATTTCGCATCGTGGTTCGAGTTTACGAGGCCGGGCAATGCCTGAAGATTATAATTAGTATGATTGTTCTAAGTTAGCATAATGCGCAACAAGCTCGCGAATTTTCTCCCAGTGACCTGCTAGCAAAATAGATCCTAACGAGCGAAGTAGATGCGTTTTTATTGTTTCAAATGGAACATAATAGACTGCAAGTAATAATTAGAATGTAATTTC